GTTCATTACCGCGCAATCCTAATTATTTAACCACATTGTAGAGCGAAGTGGAAACGAGGCCTCTCGCTCCCACTTCGACGGCAAAGACCCGTACTGTGTACGCCTCGTTTCTCCTCAGACCGGCTGCTAAGTCACAATATTTCTCGAGCTTATATGTGTGACTCTCGTCCATACGCGACTCATACGGGACGGTGAGCTCAATCAGGATGAGCTGCCGTTTCTCCGCAGAGTGGAGAACTATGTCAGGTCGCAAACCGGTCTTCCGGATTAACTCGGGGTACCTCTCATGGCCCGACAGATCAACCGCCAGTAACCAGTCCCTCGCAGAGTCTAGCACAGATGGAGCAAATGCGTTTCGGTTGACCTTACCTTTTTGAATCTGCCCAGCCTTGAGGAAACGAATGGGGACGATGGTAGAACTGGCTCTAGCGTTAGCCCTCATTCTAGCCTGGTCAACAACGGCTGCTAACTCTTTTAGCACCTCGTTGTGTCTCCAGGTATATCGGCCTTGACCTAGGGCTTTCCTGCACGCGGACAGGACGTGCTCAAGAGTCTGCTTCGCTTTACACAACAGGCAAGTCGGATCGTTAGTCGCAGACCATTTAACCATGTTAACACAGGACGGTAATACATCGTACGCAGAACGAACGATAAAGCTCAGTCGCAACGCGGTCATTCGCCAGATCTCACCCCATGTGAGTATTCTTAGCAATGCGCTCTCCACGCTGACCCAATGGCCCTGCTGCGACTGCTGGGCTGCTTTTTGGAAACGAATCTCGTTTTCGTTGTCCCTCACCTGTTGTATCACCATGTCTCGGCGTTCTTTGGCTGAGGCCTTTGACCACCAATTGACCTTCCCGTGCCCTAGGCCTCGACGGTCGGTTTGAGTGTATCCCATTATCTCCCTCAATTTTAGTGCGCTCTGCGCAGATTCAATCGCATCGAGGACTCTCCACTTCTGCCCAGTCTTGAGAGCGGGCTGGACAGCGATGACATTTGGGTCTGAAGACTCGCGCAACAGCATGGCGAGTCTTACTTTGCCAACTTTAAACTCTTCGGTTATCGATTTGAACGTGAGTACCAGCTTAGCCTGCTTGCAATATAGAGCCACGTCGGTCAGACAAGGAGTTGCACCAATCCACTTTCTCAAAGCTGTGTTGATTTTCATCTCCATGGTTTCTACTGCAGTCATCGTCACCTCGTGGCCAGAGGAGCTTCGGAATCAACATGAATTGGAGACACCATACCTTGAACTTCCCGACCAGCCTACAACGCTCGATCGCGAGCAGGCCTATAGCCAGTGACTCTTGTATTCGCCGGACTTCCGCTCTGTCAGATAACTTCGAATCGTAAACGCGACCGAGGCTCTTCACCGGTTCATCCAGAACCGTGGGGATCTTGTTCCTTGCCACCGTAAAACTGGTTGCCGCCACTCGACCCTTACGGATTGACAGACTCCTCGACTTTTGCGGTTTGAACTGCATACCGCTCCATTGGACCACCGCGTCCAATCTTCCCATGATCGTGCGGGCAGACTCCTCGCTTCCCGTTATAATAGTCGTGTCATCCATAAAGGCACGCAGTGGAGGCATCCAGTGATCCCCTAATTGAAGGCCCGGTCCGTAGCCGGCCGCCCCGTCCAACATGATCTGCATGGCCATGACAAACAGTATTGGTGAGATCGTACACCCCATAGCTATCCCAATCTGCAGCTCAGTCCATCTCGTGGTAAACGTCGAGGTAGAGAAGCGCAAAGCGAATTTATAGAAATATTGCTCGATCATATCATTGATCTGTGCCGGTACGTGGAACATGCGAAGGGCTCGCCACAGTAGCCTATGGGGGACTGCCCCGTAGGCTTTGGCTAAGTCTAACCATATCACGTGCAATTCGGTTCTCTCATGCTTGGCTCTCTGGATAGCCTCCCAAATCATGGTCGCGTGTTCAAGGCACCCAGGAACGCCCGGAATGCCACCCTTCTGAACACTCGTATCTATGTACTTGTTAGCCATCAGATACTGTGTGAGCCGGCGAGCCATGACCGAGAAGAATATCTTACCCTCGACATTCAACAGCGAAATGGGCCTGAATTGGGAAAGACTCTTCGAGTCCTGCTCTTTGGGAATGTAGACCCCATTCGCCTTTTGCCACTCTGGACAAATGTGTTTGCGGATCCACGCTTGTCTCAACAAGACGTGAAGCATTTTTAGGATTTTCGGGCAACGCTTGTAAAGAACGTACGGAACACCATTCGGACCTGGGGCAGGCTTGCCGCTGGCCTTTTTCACAACTTCCTCAACCTCAGACCAAAGGGGAGGTATCATTTTAAATGGTACCTTCGGCAACTCAGGCTGCTTGAGGCCGCTAATGATCTCTGGATTGTCATTGAGAGGCTCTCTCCTCTTTTTATCAGAGTACATCTTGCGTAGATGTGACTCAAGCTCTTCCTGACTGACAACCAGAGTCCCAGACTTCGGTTGCTCGAATAGACCTCGGGCAAACTGATACGATTCCCTAAAGAATTTCTCTCGCTCCCTTTTGGTTCTCCGTCTGGGGGGGGGGGGGGGGGGAGGGGGGGGGGGGGGGGGGGGGGGGTGTTGCTGTAGCAATTAATTTCGAAAGTTTTAATTTATATAAATATATATATATTTCTGTGTGGGAGATTTATTGCACAATGTAGAGTTGTCAAGTTTTGTGCTCTGATATAAAAGGACTCAATGCAGGTACCTTGATACTGACGATAACTATTATTCGATTAGTATTCATAACCCATTGCCACGACCTTCTTCTGTCTTTCTTTAAATAATCCGATGCCCTGTCGAAGAACCCCCTTGCCTGACGAACCAACGAACATTATTTTCAAAGAGTTGAGAACTGGGTAAGTAGGCCACTCTGACATTCAGTCCTTGCGATCTCACTCCGGTTATACCTTATTTCGCCCGTTTGTCTTTCATTAGATAATAATAAACAACATGGATAAATTATATATTAATTACAAACACTGGAATGAGCTCGAATTATACCTATATTTCTCTAAAATAATAATTCTTAGTATTAAATATTGTAATAAATATAGTGGAAATATGTCATGCGTTTAACATATTATGGGGACCACCGTACCCACAGTGCTGATGGTCTGTAAAAATATGTGCCCGATGCGCCGAAAGGCGTGAAAAGGGATCTTTACTTTACTTTTTTTTTACCGTGGTGTAGCGGTTAGATACTTGCCTGTGGATTCGAAAGTCAGCGGTTCAAATCCAAACAGTGGTCGACTTTTTTTTCGTCAGAAATGACTTTGTTTCCCAGGTCGATCCAGCCTTAAATGGATACCAGGTAGAGTGCTGGGAAGTAAAGGCGGCGGGCCTGATGCTGCCACAACAACAACCGAGTGTCAAATATTCTATAAAATATAGATCTAAACCCTTATGTCCAATTCGCATGAATGGGTCCTTTAATATTTCATATAATTACTATTGATTTACCATGTATTTACCATTTACCGAAAATCTACCCAAAGTATTTCAGGATCCTCGTCGGTGCTACACAGTCTGTGCACAGTGCTGAGCTTCTTGAGACTCAGAATTGAGTTTGAAGAAGAACGGAGCGCTTATGGGTTACTAGCCGTATGGTAGTGAAGTTGATCCGTTGTTCAAACCTCAAACCATCTTGATGTCAGATGGGGCGGGTATAGTGGGAGAGGGGGGGGGGGCATATAGTGAAGCCTTGGTAGCTGGGGAAATCGACCATCTGGCACGCTCGCTGGACCTGTCCCATGTGGGTTACTTCCTGTTTCCAAATATGAACAATTCACGTCATGGTGGTGGTTTCATCGTACACGTTTTTACTTCTGCATATTAAAGTGGAAAAAGAAAAAGTACGTGTCTTGACTTCTATATAATAAAGTGGAAAAGAAAACTCGTATGTGTTTTTACTTCTACACATTAAAGTGGAAAGGGAAACTCGTACATGTCTTTACTTCTACATATTCAATGAAAACTCGTTCGTATGTTTACTTCTACATATTAAAGTGAAAATGGAAACTCGTACGTGTCTTTACTTTTACATACTGGGAGGGGAGGGGAAGGCTGCGTGGTGTCGAGGAATGGTGTCCGCCTCAAATGCTAGAGGTCCCGGGTTCATGCCCCAGTGAAGGCTGTGATTTTTTCACGTGGATTCTAGTAATTTTTCCTGGTCTCTGGGTAGTGAGATCGGACGCCCGTGTGTATTGTTCCGCCCGTAAAAAGTCAATTGACAGTTGGAAATCGAAAAAAGTAGCCTAACGGTGCTGACCGGGCAAAATTTGGAAGTTAGAAATCCATCCAAAGTATTTCTGGATCCTCGCCGGTACTACAGAACCTGTGCACTGTGCTGAGGATTCTTCGAACTCAGACTTGAGTTAGAAGAAGAACGGGGCACTTATGGGTTACTACCCTTGTACCATGATGTTGATCTGTTGTTGAAACCTCAAACTTCTACATACAAAAGTTGGAAGGAAAACTCGTACGTGTCTTTACGTCTACAAACTAAAGTTGAAAAAAGAAACTCGTACGTTTCTTTACGTCTACAAACTAAAGTTAACTCGTACGTGTCTATACTTCTACATACTAAAGTGGAAATGGAGATGGTCAGTGCAGTGACTAGATTCAGCTTGCTGACCCGAAAGTCTTGGGTTCAAATCTGCACAAAATTTCGAAAGAAAAACATTGTCGGAAACCCCCCAATATAATTGTTTCCTAGGATGACCAAGACTAAAAAAAAGTCACCAGGTAATATTCTTGAAAGTAAAGGCAACCGGTGTGCTACTGACTATATCACCTATCAAATTTCGATAAATCTATAACAAGTGAATACAGCATAATATCCATATAAGCCACTAGAATTGAAGGGGCGTTTACTTACTAACTAAAGTACAAAACTCTTCGGCAGTCCCATGTACAACCCTGTCAAATTAGCAAAACCCAAACCAAATTAAAACGACCCTAACAAACAGCAGTACACGTTCACACATTTCTGGAAACGTCTCCGTGTCGTGGTATAATAGGATTCATGCAGTAACCAAAAGCGGGTGAAAACTCAGCGTCTCTCCGTCTGTGGCAGCACTTTTGTTCTCCTGGACACGCCCCGTCGACTTGACATCTCACCAGCGGTTCAGTAGAGTTGCTGATCGGTGGACACTCTCCTACTTTTGGAGGTGAGAGAACTCGTTCTTCTGTAAATAGAGGTCGGTATAACTGAGATTTTGCAATAGGACAAAATTCACACACAAAACATATGGGGTAGTGCGCTTGCTGTCGAGGTAGCGGTCCCAGTTCAGTTCTAGCAGAGACAGGATTATTTATTTCCAGCCTGTCTGGAGCCAGTAAAAGCACCGAACTCTCACACTGAAAGCTCAGCTCCCATACTGAACGCTCAGCTCTCATACTGAATTAATCAAGTAACAGAAAGTATTGTGAACGGCACTCATAGAAAGAAGTAGAAAGATAGAAGAACACACTAGACAAAGCTCAGCTCTCATACTGAACGCTCAGCTCTCATACTGGGAAAGATATAAACATTAAAATCGAACACATTTTCACTTGTTGAAGATAACAGTAATACAAGGTCCGACAACTAAGTAATGAGAATGATTTTATTATGGCCAAGACAAAAATGTCATCTTTAAAGCAAAGCATGGAATCTATAGAGGCAACATTAATCAATGATCTGGCAACTTTTCATAGCCGCTCGATAAGAAAACAACAAACAAGCCGCCATTTTGTTGACCTAGTCAGAGGTGCATTGTTACGTAATCATCACGGAGCAAAAAGCTAACATTAAATTCTTTTTATAACTCAGAAAAAGCGCTATTGAAAAGTTTAAATGATGCAACAAGTTTATGGGGATAATTATTTATCTCGTGCACACATTTTCAGGTGGTATTCACTATTTAAAAGTGGTGTGGAATTGATTACTAATGCACCTAGACCTGGATGTCAAATTTATGTTCGTAATGATGAACTTATTGCAAAAGTCAGAGAATGGATACAAGAAGATAAATGTTTTACTGTGAGGATGATGACAGATGAATCTGGTGTTAACAGAGAGACCATTCATAACATTTTAGTGCAACATTTTGGCAAGAAAAAAGTTGCTTGCCGGTTTGTACCACGTTCGTTGTCTGATGACCAAAAACATCAGCGGGTTGAGAACCCAAGAGACATCATCCAAACAAGAATCTTTGGCCCAAAAATATGTGTGTGTTCTCAGCCTTCCACCCTAATCCCCAGATTTGTCTCCGTGTGATTATTTTCTATTCCCAAAATTACATTTACGATCGAAATGACGCTTTTTTAACGATACTGATGACATTCAAAAGGCCGTAACATCAACTTTAAGGGCCATAACAATATAAGAACTACAGAGGTCGTTCCAGAGTTTTTTTTTTTTTTAGATCGTGGCACTTGCTGTATCAATGCACATGGGGCTTACTTTGAATCAGACACAGGTTTCATCTGCAACTGTTTATTATTTAAATTTTTATGGAATCAGTCTCATTACTTAATTGTCGGACCTTGTATATCAGCGAGCTTCACAATATAACAAACACAAACAAAACGTGAACGTTGCAGCTATAGAGCCTTCTTCAGCACATACATACCTCTCATACTGAACGCTCAGCTCTCATACTGAACGCTGCTCACAGCGAAAGCCGTTTGCAGCAGGTTGAATGTGGTCGAGTTTTCTCCTTCTTCTTCGTACAGTTGGAATTGGAACACGTGAAACCCAGGTTCGAATCGTCAGAAAACATTTTTTTTCTGTCGAGGCCAAAAAAAAAAAAAAATTCTAATCTACACAGTCCATGGCGACGGCACCAGTCATGCGGCCCCAACTACTCAGGCTCAAGACACCCCGCCTCCCCCCCCCCCCCGCCCATAAAACCTTGAAAAGAGGGCGTAAACCAACGTAAAGACGACACTGGACCTTTTCTTCTTCTTTATATTTACTAGCTGTAGACTCCGGTGGAAAGTTCTGGTTGTTCGTCCACTTCTGGACTTTAGTCTGGTTCTAGTACTTGAGTTTTGTGTCCACATACGTTTCACGCATCTGACTTATTTGTAGGTATACTGTTGGTTCCTCTCCTCTCAGGCAAATATACTTCGACTTCGAAGGAAACACCTCTATCTAGTCGGCGTTTACGACATGCTTGCTGGGGGACAGTCAGCCCATTCTCTCCAACCCCCCCCCCCCCCAATCCCCCATCTCCCCGCCACACCCGCCCCTCTTCCACCACGGGAACCGTAACCCACACGGGGAAATATTCCGACATTTCTTTAACAACAATGTATAAGAAAGATATTTGACGAATGGAACTGGCTGACTCAACTATAATGTCGAGGATTAAAACATGTGGGGGTATGTAAAGAAGTAGAAATCAGAGTAAAGCCGTGGATAATATCAAAGTAAAGAGCAGGTTAACATGCCCTGTGGCATGACTTTTGTGTGTCGCTCAGCGATGTAATCTGTTTGACATCGACAGCCTCTAATATTTTCTCAATATATGACATGTAAATAATGTTCCACCACCTGTGACAAGATAACTAGAAATGATATAAATTTAAAGAAAATTAATAGGAAAGAAGATATAGGTAGGTAGGTAAGTTGTACCCCACTAGTACATCACACTAGTGATAAACACCGTGTGACACAAAGTGCCACCGTGCGGATGAGGATCACCAGTGGAGAGGTCCCGGAAACCCCCTA